TATGGATGCTGCTTTTACTAGACTTTTAAAAATATTTCCTTGATTCTTTTTTCTTTACATTATAACTCACATATAATGAAATAAGATTCCTTCTCATCCCTGATAAATATCTCAAGGACAAATTTGTATATACTAAGTTAAAATAAAATAAATAGAAAATAAGCAGGCGTGTATCATGAAAGAGTTCCAAATGCTCAAGTTAAACTTTTGATGCTTCTCTGATTATCAGCAGAAAAGCTATCTAAGATGACTGATATCAGACTTGAAGTCTAAATAACAGAATAACAGACATTAAAAAAAAATCTAAATCTTTATGTACTTTTTGAAGACTTCCTTTTCAAGGAATTTAACCAACTCCATGAACGTGACTCATGGGTGCCATATGCCAAGGCAATAAAAGGTGAGTTGAAGGTTAGCCTTCATTGTATGACACAGCAATAATGCTAAAAAACCTAGACACTAGAGGAATAATGACCAATACATAATTCTGAGGCTGAGACAAGGGACACAAAGGAATTCAAAGCACCCAGGCACGTATTTTCTTATCTAACGTGTTCGACACTGCAAAAGTGAAAAAAGAGACTTACTTTTTATTGCATATATGATAGTCACTATAAACAGCCAAAGTCCAACTGAAAAACTAACTGCAAAACTAAATTTAAGCAGGCATGGTGGGACACACCTGCAATCCCAATTACTTGGAGTGCTGATGCATAAGGATCACCAAATCTGAAGGCAGCCCTGGCAATTTAGCAAGATCCTCAAAACTGGGCTGGGGCTGGGGCTGGGGCTCAGCAGTAGCAAGTGGCATGTATGAGGCACTAGGTTCAATTCTCACCACCGCATATAGATAAATTTTTTTAAAAAAATAAAAGGTCTATAAACAACAACAAAAAGAAATGTTTTTAGAGAGAGAGAATTTTTTAATATTTATTTTTTAGTTTTCGGTGGACACAACATTTTTATTTATTTATTTATTTATTTATTTATTTTAGAGTGGTGCTGAGGATCAAACCCAGTGCCCCGCGCAATGCCAGGTGAGCGCACTACCTCTTGAGTCACATCCCTAGCCCAAAAGAAAATATTTTTTTTTTTAAAAAAAAAGATCCTCCCACCTCTCTTCCCTATTTAATGGTAATCATCTTCTCATGCTCTTCCTCCCTATCCCATTTTGAGTCATACATGTATGATGATGGGGGGGGGGGGGGGGAGGGTGTCATATTAAACTGGGGGGAGAGGAGTGGGGGGGGGGGGGGGGGGGGGGGGGGGGGGAGAGGGGATAGGAAGGGCAGCAGAATAAAATAGACATTTGTATTACTGTATGTATATACGTGACTGTAAAACCAATGTGATTCTGCAACCTGTACACTCAGAAAAATGGAGAAATTATACCCCATTTGATTAAAATGTATGATATGTCAAGATCATTGTATTGCCATGTGTAACTAATAAAAAAAATTTAAAAAAAAAGAAAAATGAAAGTATATGTCCACACAAATATTTGCTCGCATATGTTCACAATAAATTTATTTGTAATAGCCCCAAACAGGTAATAACCCAAATGTCCTTCAAAAGTTAACAAATAAAGTTTGTAGCATCTTCACATAATAAGATATTACCCATCAACCTAAAGGGACAAATCATTAACAAAAGCACCAAGTAGATAAATATCAAAAGTTGTGGAGTGAAAAAAAGTGAGTGTATCGGGCTGGGGTTGTGGCTTAGTGATAGAGCACTTGCCTAGCATGTGTGAGGCCCTGGGTTTGATTCTCAGCACTGAATAAAATAAACGTCCATCAACAACTTAAAAAAAAAAAATGTTTTTAAAAAAAAAGATCCTCAAAATTTAAAAAGCGGTGAGGATGTAACTCAGGGCAGAGCACTTGTCTGGCATGTGAGACACGTCCCCGCCCCAGGTTCAATCCCCAGTATCATTAAATTAACTAATTTGAAAACTTTAAGATTCAAACATTTCATGTAAATTGTGCACCAAGCACTGTCCTATCACTCGAATAATTTTGATAATCTCCTCACCAAAGTAGTAAATTTACAGAATTATATATGTCCTTATTTATTAGGAATCTTAATAACATTTTTATTCTTTAAGCCAATAATCATATTTCTAAAAGTTATTTTAAAAAATCACCCAAAACACAGAAAATGCTTTAAATTCAAAGTTATTCCATAACAGCAAATACTGGAAACAATCTAATGCTTTAAGCCCCATGCTTCCACTTCACCACCACCTGCCCTCATCACAGTCACTCTCCATGGGGTAGCTCCAGTGACCATTTAAAAGGTAACTCGGATCTGTTGCTCTTAATCCTCCACTGACTTTCCATCACAACTGGACTAAAATCGCAAACCTACATCATGGTCTACAGTACATACATGACCATGACCAACCCAACTTCTCCAAATCAGCACACTGGCACCCATGCATTCCCAAGACTAGAGTAGGCCCACTGCCATTTCTGAGCCTCTTCTTCGATGTTCCTTCTCTTATAAATGCTTTCTCTAGAAGTGTTCTAAGGTTTCTGCTTAAATGCCTTCTTTTCTTTTCAGAGTTTGGTTAGTTACTGGGGGGACGGGGACAGGGATTGAACCCAGGACCTCAGACATGACAGAGAAGCACTCTACCACTGAGCTACACCTCAAGTCATTTTTTTTTTTTCTTTTAAGTTGTAGTTGGACACAATACCTTTATTTATTTATTTGTATGTGGTGCTGAAGATGGAACACAAGGCCTCACATGTGGTAGGCGAACACTCTACTGCTGTGCCACAACCTCAGTCCCTATACCTCAAGTCTGAAATGTTGTGTTTCATTTATTTGGGAGGGGGCAATACTGGGGAGTGAATCCATAACTGTGCTACCACTTAGCTACTTCCCCAGCCCTATTTTGGGGGGAGGAAGGCAGGACAGAATTATAGGTGTGCACCACCACACCAAACTCTTAAATGCCGTTTCAAAGAGACTTTCCCTAGGAGCCATTGCTCGGTCATTTTCTATTCCTCTATCCTGCCTCATTTTTTATGACGGTAGCTCATACAAGTCAACAGTAGTGTGGGGGGAAGGGTGTCTGTTTACTACTGTCTATCTCACAAAAACAAAACTCCAGCACATTTTAAGTACACACAATAAAAGCTCTAGAAACATGACCAAAAGAGCATGACTAAATTCTTATAACAACTGTAACCATTTAGTATTTAAGAAATAACACAGGATAAGCTAATATAAAGTCACCAATTAGGATAGAACATCTTACTCTGAGCCTACAGTACAGAAAAAAAGACATGAAACTACACCAAAAACAAGATGATTATAGTAGTTGTCTCTAAAAATCATTCAGGATTACAAGAATTTTTTCATTTTCTTTCTGTAACTTATCATAATTTTAAAAATACTTCCAATAATGAGGGTGTACTTTTATAGTATTAAAAAAATATATTTTTTTAAGAAATATGTCTGACAAACGTGATGCTTCCCTGTCCCAGTACTTTAAAGACTGCAACGGTTTTCAGATACTAAAAGTGATTCATAGCTCAAACATATAAAAATCACTGCTCTATACTGTCATTGAGATTATAATTACTTAAGGACTCATCACCCCTACCAGACTATAAGTTTGCTTATTAGCACACAATATTACATGGCATGCAGAACTGAAATATTTAGAAGTGTTTTTCAGGGCTGGGGCTAGGGTTCAGTGGAAGAGCGCTCGCCTAGCATGCATGAGGCACTGGATTCGATCCTCAGCACCACATAAATAAATAAAATCAAGGTATTATGTCCACCTATAACTAAAATAATATATTTTTTAAAAATTAAAATAAAAGTGTTTTTCAGTACTATGTGTTTTACCATCTACTTACATCCCCAGTCCTTTTTTTATAATTACGAGACAAGGTCTCACTATATTGCAGAAACTGGCCTCAAACATGTGATCCTCCTCCTGTCAGCCTCCCTATTAGCTGGGAATATGGTGGTACACTATCACACAAAGCTGGAATTTAAATATTAAAAATGACAGGTTTAACTCTCCTAATCCCTTCAATTTCCTGAGATTCACTATAAAGCATTTAAAATGTGCTTCTAATTTTATTACCTTCATCCTCTTTTAAATATCCCTTCACCTGTTAATCTGAATGAATCATTTGATATAAAAAAATTAAATTTCCTCCACTATTCACTTTTCAAACCTTCCTGCATATTTTATATGCAACCAGGGAGGGGAAAGGTACAAGAAAAAAAAAAGTTAAAAAGAGCAAAAAAATGGGGCTGGGGTTGTGGCTCAGCAGTATAGCATTCACCTAGCACATGTGAGGCCGAGTTCAATCCTAAGTACCACATAAAAATAAATAAATAAAATGAGGTGTTTTATCCATTACAAAAAAGCAAAAAAAGCCTGGCGTTGTAATCCCAGCAGCTCAGGAGTCTGAGGCAGGAGGATCGAAAGTTCAAAGCCAGCCTCAGCAAAAAGTGAGGTGCAGAGCAAATCAGTGAGACCCTGTCTCTCAATGAAATACAAAACAGGGCTGGGAATATGACTCAGTGGTAGAGTGCCCTTGAGTTCAATCCCCAGTACCAAAACAAACAAAAGAGCAAAAGAAAAATTATTTAAGAAAAAATTCAAAAATGGGGCTGAGGTTGTGGCTCCGCAGTAGAGCACTTGTCTAGCACATGTGAGGCACTGGGTTCAATCCTCAGCACCCATAGAAAGAAAGAAATAAAATAAAGATTAGAAAAATTCAAAAAAGTGTACAGAAAGAATCATAATACAAAGCAAAAGCTTAGCATTTATGGAAAGAAAAAAAAGGTGCAGGTGTACACTTCTTGGGCCTAAAAATCTTATTGTATCATAATATCTTGTTCTATTCAGAGTTTATTGAACCTTTCACATAACTCTTGTCATATATCAAACAACCAAACACATCCTGTAATGCCAAGGGTTCCAGTGCAAAAACAGACATACAATAAGACAAACTTGAGACACTCACCGTGCTGTAGACTGCTGAGACAGTAGGAGTGAAGATTCGGTCCTCAAGAGGCTGTGGCACAGGTCCTCTAGGAATTCTAGAAAGGTGAGTTAAGGATAAGAGAACTCAAAAATGAACTGCACTAGCAGTAAGAGAAAAATCACCACCATAAAATTCTGCCAAAAGCCAAACATTTTTTTACCCAATTAGTGCAGTCATATACTTTTTGCTCCACAGAAACTAGAAAATAAAGTAATTCAACTTTCCTAATGTGATTATTCCAATCTCTTCAAAAGTGGTTCCTATTATATACATTCCATGGAAACTCAAAACAAATACAATTATAAAACTTTTCCAAACTTTAAGTCCATGATAAGACTGCAACACCTATACTTACTACGGAAAAAGACTAGAGAAGGATAACCAGAATATATTCAGGAAGATAACACTAACTCATCAAGTGAAAATTGCTGACAAAGGCCCAGTCTGTTCTGCTAACATCACAGGAATAGAAAACACAATTCTTTCCTTCTGGTTTTGCTTTTAATTTTAGCAGCAACTTTGCCCACAGCACTCCAATCCACCAAGTCCCCATTTTCAAAAACAGTCTCACAGACATTATATAGATTAAAATATTTTAGCACATCAACAGTCCTTCTGTTTAAAGACAAAGGACTATCATTCTATTCAACTTCAAAACAAAAAAACTATCATTTTATTCAATTTCAAAACTCTTCTGCCTGGTATGGTGATATTTTGGAATAGAAAATGCTTGTGAATTCCAGGCCTCTTCAACAATGACAACCAATCTGGTGGTCACAAGGGTGCACACCTGAAATCCCAGTGAACTGACTCAGCATGCTGAGGCAGGAGAATTGCAAGTTCAAGGCCATACACAGCAACTTAATGAGACCCTATCTCAAAATAAAGTTTACAAAGATAGTAGGAATGTAGTTCAGTGGGTTGAGTGCCTCCAGGTTCAATCTCTAGCATCACAAGAAAAAAAAAAATTGACAAACAAAAGATCAGTAACAATTACCCCTGGGTGATGGGCTAATATATTTGTTTTTCTAAACTGGATACAAATTATTTGTGTGGTTTAAATTTTTTTTTTAACAGAATGACAATAAATCCAATAGTGCCAACAAAACTGAGACTAATTCTAAATGATTTTTAATCACAAAAATAAGACTCTTAATGTCATAAGTCCAAAATAAGATTATTTTCCTTCAAATAAAATGCAGCCGGGGGCGGTGGTGCTGAGACAGGATGATCAAGAGTTCAAAGCCAGCCTCAGCAAAAGCAAGGTGCTAAGGCCCTCAGTGAGACTCTGTCTCTAAATAAAATACAAAATAGGGTTGGGGATGTGGCTCAGTAGTTAAGTACCCCTGAGTTCAATTCCTGGAAACTCCACCCCCCCAACAAAAATAAATATATTTATTTATAAATAAATTTTATAAATATTTATAAATTTTATAAATATAAATTTATTTATAAATATAAATATATTTATAAATAAATGTATCCATTTACAACTAAAAATTTTTCTTAAAAAATAATTAATGCTTCTCATAGCATTTCCCTTTCTAATTCAGTAAGATGGTTTGGAAGAAAAAGTAAAAGCTGCAAATAGTAATTTCTACCTTTTTTTTTTTTTAATCTTAAGGAATGACCACAAGTTGCCAAAATCTGACAGAATTATTAGAAGGAAAATTCTTTATATCCAAATAGCCAAACCAGTTTACTGGGGTGAAAGAGGGGAAATAAACCAAAAAACCTACCCTTTAATTGTCAAAGAGACAGTACCAGTCCCTAGACAGCATTTTAGACTACCAGCCTCATACAATAATTTAACACCTGTCACCATCCCCCACAAAGAACTGGTTTAAAATGTTGCATTGAAAAGTGAGGAAGCTAAAATATTTCTCATAGGAACAGCCTCCTCCAAACAATGCCCCCCCCACACACACACACACACACAAACACAAAATGTTCAAAGCACAAACCTAATACGTTTTAGGACAAGTGTCCTTAATATAAGCTTGTTAGTTAGTTCTTCAGAACGAAGATTACCCCTCAGCTGAAATTAAACTTTCTTTGCATTAGAGTTCTGCATTGTGGTCACATGACTGGTGGAAAATACAGTCATTCTTCTTCTACAGAACCAAACACTACTACATTATTGCTTTTTTCCCAGTGAGGACTAATCCTCACAATGGAGAATAACTTCTCAAGTAAGTTATCTTCTATGCCCAAGAGGCTGAGCTACTCCCCTTAACTGTACAAAGGAAAGGTTAGGACTCCTGGTGTCTATTAGTTGCTTTGTAAACTAAAATGATTACTATAATTACAAGCTTCCTGAGACAGTCTTTCATTTGGCCAACAATACAGTAACAAATAATCTTCTCCCTTGACTTCATTTATTTTGCTCCCTATAAAATGACAACAGAATATGGTGGACTGATAAATTAGCTGTCTTAAAAGATCTTTTGTACAAAAAACTAATTAAAATAAAAACAATTAAAAGAGAAATGAAGAGAACCGTTTCAAGACTGATATGTGACTAACCAATTACACTGTCTGCACTGAACCACTTAATATTATGCCCTTAAGTAACCTGCCAAATTCAAAAGGCTAAATTACACATCCAGACCATGTCTCCCCATAGTCCGTAAGTATGCTCTTCCTATTATATCAACCAGTGCTAGGGCACAAAATTTAATAGCTAGATAGAAAAGTATCACAAAGTTTTCAAAATATGTTTGGCCCATCTAAAGATGAACTACAGCCCAGTGCTGGCACACACCTGTAATCCTGGATGCTGAGACAGGAGGATGGCAAATTCCAAGCCAGCCTCAGCAATACCGAGGCCCTAAACAACTCAGTAAAACCCTGTATCTAAATAAAATACAAAAATACAGCTGGGGATGCGGCACAATGATTAAGCGCCCCTTGGTTCAATCCCTGGTATCAAAAAAAAAAATGAACTAAATTATTAGTCTGCTCCATAAAAGTGTCAAAGAAGCATCACTAAAAACTTTTGAAAAGTTCTGAATTCTTAACTCAAGCTCAATTATCTGCCCAATGGCAAATAGTCATTACTACAATCTATGCAGATAATGAGTTTAGCCAGAAAAACTTATTTTATGGGAGCCATTTTTTCCTTTAATTATAGTGTTGATGGTTGTACAACTTCATAAACATGCTAAAAAACAATGGACTCTTAAAAGTATGAATTACATGGAATGTAAACTTTATCTCATCAGAAAAACCTAACTTGGGTTGGGATTGTGGCTCAGCAGTAGAGGGCTCATCTAGCACATGCGAGACCCTGGGTTCGATCCTCAGCACCACATAAAAATAAATAAAATAAAGGCATTGTTTCCAAAAAAAAAAAAAACCTAACTTGATATTTCATTAACTTATAACAAGGATGTTTAGCCCACTACCTCACTTAAAAGGCCTACATAAATCAGTATGAGCTCAGCCCTTCTAAACTTTTTCTCCTGAAAGAAATAACACAAGATGCAGGCATGGTGGTGTAGGCCTGTAATCCCACTTCAGCACTCAGCAACTTAGTAAGACCTTGAAATAAGAAAAGGCTGGAGAGGTAGTTCAGTGGTAAAGCATTCCTGAGTTCAATCCCCAGTACGGTTAAAAAAAAAAAAAAAAAAGGAAGGGAAGAAGGGAGAGGAGGACAGAGGAAGGAGTAAAGGGAAAGAAACCACACACAGCAAATTCTACAGCAGACTTCCTCCTAATTCCCACTGCCACTGAGCTTATTATCAATTCTAATCAAGCTCTGAATCTCCAGCATAAATCATTAGCTGCTTACTTCCTTTTGAACTTAAGGTAATAAGCAAACAGCTTTTCATATTACCACTTACAATTCCAATTTGACCAAAGAACAGTGTAACATGCTTGCACAATGCTCCAAAATATGTTGACCTTAACTTTTTAAAAGCTATGACTAAAATACAGTAGTGGGCTGGGGATGCGGCTCAGTGGTAAAGTGCTTGACTGGCATGCATAAAGCCCTAGGTTTGCTCCCCAGTACCAACAAAATAAAATGCAGTAGCATACCTATTCAAATTGTTGACTTACATACTTAGAAAATGCAATCAAAACCATTAGCAAGACTGCACAGACGGTATGAAGTAACTGAATAAAGACTAACTCCAATAAAAGAGGCAAATTTCAAAAATAAGTAAAATGAAATGATTAAAGTACTCACTACATACACTCTAAATTAAATGCCAACCAAGCAAATAAAAAACTTAGATAATATCTGTTTAATCAGAAAAATCCAACAATCCATGAGATTACACAATGATATGTTTTTTATTTATACCATGAAAGAAGGAGGAGGTTAATAGCTTTGTAACCACAGTTTACTGAAACCTCATGAATGTAAACACTCTACAAGATGAACCTTCTTGATCCACGGCATTCACAACTGGCACTGGGCAGATTTTCTGGGGAGTGACAGTGACCAAGTTATATTGTCATATTGTGTGCATGTATGAATATGTAACAACAAACACCAACATTGTGTACAACTATAAAGAACCAATTTTTAAAAATGTGGAAAAAGGAAAAGAGGCAGATTTTCACAAATTAGAAATAAGAGTGAAAGTCAACATAAATCTTACTTTCATTTGCTCAAACGCTAATGTTCCATTTACAGCAACCAGATGAATGTTTCTAAATCTTGCCCAACTACCCTAAAACAAAAGCTACTATCCCGATGGTCATAGTTATCATTTCCACATGGAAAGAGAGCAAGAACACAAATACCATCACACAAATACTGCTCCACAAACAGGCAACAATGTCAACAGATGAAAACAAATAATGCAAAGGGCTTTTTCTATACTATTTTTTTTCACATCAGTAACCTGCTTTATTAACACATAAACTGCAACACTGACTTGAACTTTGTAGCCAATTAACAACCCCAAAAATATCAACTGCTCAGGTACCCCCCAAGAGACTCTTCCCCCTGCTGCAGAGAATAGTAGGGTGAGAGCAGAGGACTACTCCTCAAAGAAGACCATAGGGAACCTCTCTGTATCCTCTCCATGCTGTGGCTCCCCT